AAAATGTGTCTGTGAATGTTGTTCATTTGTTGTTGGATTGTCTGACGTCAGACAGCATGCACCAGGAGCGCAACACTACAGACACGTACGGACACAGAAGAGTTCTTCACTCCGCAGTCTCTGCTGAGAGACTGATATAAGGTGACATCATTATGTTATGACTGACTTCCTGAACATTTAGACTATTTATTAATTATTAATTTAATATACAGTACTATTAGCCAATATAAATATTGTATGAGACTATCAAAAGAACAAATCATACTAATGGTATTCATGAGAAGTGAGTTTCTTTTGTTCTGTATTTTCTTCTCTTTAAGTAAGCGTTTAAGAGAGTCATTATAGTTATAGTTATGTAAAAATGTCAGTAAAAAATTCAGTGTTGCACTCTCCACACAAACAGATTTTAATTAAAAATTAATTGACCGCACATTTTTGCATAGTTTGTTTATTTGGACAGAGTAAGTAGACAGTAGCACTTGACAGTTTAAGTTAAGAGTTGTACTTGACAGAGTAAGTAGACAGTAGCAGTATAGAGTTGTAGTATAAAGTTTTATTTCAAAGTTGTAGTTGACAGAGTAAGTAAACAGTAGCAGTTGAGTGTTGTAGTACAAAGTTTTATTTCAAAGTTGCAGTTGACAGTTTAAGTTAACAGTTGTAGTTGACAGAGTAAGTTAACAGTTGTACTTGTCAGAGTAAGTAGACAGTAGCAGTATAGAGTTGTAGTACAAAGTTTTATTTCAAGGTTGCAGTTGACAGTTTATGTTAACAGTTGTAGTTGACAGAGTAAGTTAACAGTTGTACTTGTCAGAGTAAGTAGACAGTAGCAGTATAGAGTTGTAGTACAAAGTTTTATTTCAAGGTTGCAGTTGACAGTTTATGTTAACAGTTGTAGTTGACAGAGTAAGTTAACAGTTGTACTTGTCAGAGTAAGTAGACAGTAGCAGTATAGAGTTGTAGTACAAAGTTTTATTTCAAGGTTGCAGTTGACAGTTTATGTTAACAGTTGTAGTTGACAGAGTAAGTTAACAGTTGTACTTGTCAGAGTAAGTAGACAGTAGCAGTATAGAGTTGTAGTACAAAGTTTTATTTCTAAGTTGCAGTTGACAGTTTAAGTTAAGAGTTGTAGTTGACATAGTAAGTAGACAGTAGCAGTTGAGTGTTGTAGTACAAAGTTTTATTTCAAAGTTGCAGTTGACAGTTTAAGTTAACAGTTGCAGTTGACAAAGTATGTAGACAGTAGGAAAAAAAAGTAAAGAAAAAAAAACTTAAGAAAAAAAAGTAAAAAAAATAAAGTTAAAAAAAAAGTTAAAGTAAAAAAAAAAATTAAAGTTAAAGAAAAAAAAAACTTAAGAAAAAAAAGTAAAAAAAATAAAGTTAAAAAAAAGTTAAAGTAAAAAAAAAAATTAAAGTTAAAGAAAAAAAAAACTTAAGAAAAAAAAGTTTAAAAAAAATTAAATATAAAAAAACTAAAGAAATAAAAACTAAGTGTAATAAGTGTACTAGTACAGTCATAAGTGGGTGCTCAAACTCAAATTTAAATTTTAAGTTTAAAGTTAAAGCTAAATCTGAAACTTAAACTTTCACTTGAGCTTGAGCATAGCATAGCTTAGCTTAGCTTAGCTTATATAGAAGACTGTATGTAAAACCAGCTATGCTATGCTAAGGTAAGCTATGCTATGCTATGCTGTGATGTGCTGTGCTATGCTAAGCTGAGCTAAGCTATGCTTGCCAATGCTAAGCTATGCATATAAATCCTTTGCTATGCAATAAAGGATTTTAAATAGTTTACAGCGAATAAATCAAAATGAAACTATATCAACCTGGCAGTCAGTTTACTTAAAATCCCTTTTTAATAAATAATGGTGCGTCAACATTCTATTGTCTGAAAAAAGTAAATAAAACTTGGCAAAACCTGGTTTTAATATTAATTTTAATTTCACTTTAAACACAATTTTAAACACTCGCTTTGTAGCCAAAA